AAAACTGCGGACGGGAAGGAGGGAATGTCTGGAGGTATCGATTGGAACCGCGATTCCGTGCCGAGGCTTCGATTATACCGCGGCTCGGCTATATTTTCCTAACCGATCTGTAATTGCCCATTCCCTTCGAATTCATAGATAACGGTGTGCGATAGACATATTTCCTAGATGATTGCAACCTGATAGAAATAGAGAAACCTATTTCCCGGTGACAATAAGGAAAACAGTATTACCAACTCATTTCAAAAAATTCTTCTAATGTCTCAAGATTCACCTAAGATATTCAGGAAACATCACAAATCATATTCAATACATACTAACCCTTTGGACTCGGAATGACTCTCAATCACCATTTGATTTGATGGTAATTTTGATTTTGTTGTAAAACTATAAAATCTGATACTGAATCGTTTGAGTCCCACGGATTTTCACAAAAGCTCGCTTGAAAAATACCAAGCGCAAACGCGCTTCTTTCGTTTCAATTCACAAATGAAATGACGCTTTTCTACTTTTACGAAAACAAATTTTAAATAGCACGGTCGTTACACTTCTCTAGTTCAAAGCGTGCATTAACCAAAATAAAAATGAATGAGGCGGTGTAATGGAGAAGCGCGTCGCTTGCTACTCAAACGGTTAATCTTGCACTTTGTATAATGCCTTGATACGTGAAATATTCGAAAAAAATAGCTTTCCTCAATGTACTTATAATTTCCCTTCAAGTTAGTTCCAAGGAATATCTTCGCCTCGTCAAAAAATATTAAACATTCCTGAGAAACTTCTGAGAGCAAAGGTTTAATACAATTACAAAACTGACACTGTTCCTACCGCGATTAGTCAAATGACTTTTTTTAAAATTTCGATAAGAATTTCCTATAGACAACGTAATTGAATCGCCTTTATACTTCACGACTTTTCCTAAAATATATGTATAAAATATTTTTCAATATTCACGCCTTTTTTTATTGTTTATTTTCTGAGAAAAATTTATAGTCTGTCTTACCTACCACGACCGGTCATTTGACCGGTAGAATGATTTATATCTTTTTGTAATTGTATTCTCTCAGAGACTCAATTCCGAAACTATAAAGTCGTTACAAACGAAAGGTAATGCAGTTGTGGCATGATTTTAGCCAAAAAGTGCCTTTCAGGGACTGCTTTACGGTACTTTCAAGTGTTTACAGTTCTCGCTCGCCTATCGGCCTCGGTAAATTCGGTAAAATCTAAATGTCGGAGATGGCCTTTACAGGTATTTTTCAATATCCTAGATTTAGCCAGGATAAATGCATGGATTTTTTTAATTTTCGAGGCGGGAATTTTTATTTCAATTGGCAGAAGATCTTGCCATTGATTATCAATAAGAAGTAGAGTTAGGCAAAGAAAATCAAGCAACACCCGTCACAAATACAAGTACAGGTTCACGCGAACGGAAACCATGCCAAATAAAGTATTGCACAAACAATAATACTAACAAAATCTGTCTGAAATGTAAAAAGTACGTGTATGGGAAATGTACAATCGACAAATCTATTTGTAAAAAATGCGGTGAAAACGAATAAAATGTAAATTATATACTTCTAAATCAAAGAAACTATATTTGTATACTGTCAAATTGGGTATTATCTTCATTCTATATTAAAAAATATAAGTTTTCTAAAGTCCAGTCATTTGACTGGTCGCGGTAGGAATAGTTATACGTGGAGTGTCGGTAGAAATAGCGCTAAAACATACTTTTCCATTCACAGCACAAAATTCACATCAGATCTTTCTCTCCAAACGAAATACCACAAAGAAACCGATAAATCATGTAACAACGAATTAATTGACATTACTCGGAAAAAGTTTGTTACTCGTTTAAGCTCGTTATCCCTATTTACCGTATACATTCTGCAGCAGACGCGCAACAGATCGATGAGAAATCGATGAAGATGATAATACGAGCGAGAAACAATCGAACAACGGCGCGGCTCGCATTTTCCGCGGGGTCGTTGTTCGCGTCCATAATGAATTGAAATCGACGCAGCTGTTCCCCGTCCATTGAGGAGCAAGGGAACACAGTCGCCGGTGTACCGGCTCGTTTCATATTCCGCGAGCCGTGGTACACGGACCGTGACGCGTATTTGCCGCGGGCGTCCAGTAACCAAATATGCCTCCTGAGACGCGCGCCAGGTAGCAAACACGCAGCCGGTTTTACCTCTTCCTCTCGCCGCGTTTCCGCTCTATTCTCCTTCGCGGCAAAAAGACCGGGCCGGTGTATCGGGACGGCAAAAACCGCGGTAAGCATTGCGCAAAGAAGGAAAGCGTATTCCTCGCGGACCATCGCGCTGTTGTCTGGAGGACGCGCCGGGTTCCCTGCTTCCGGTATCGATCCTGCGACCTTTGCAGACTCTGTTTCGCGGCTGTCGAATTGCTAGCGTTTCCTTTAAAAATGGTTCAGAATTTTAACCCTTCGAGTGCTGAATACTTCCAGCTGAAACGTTCTATGTGGACGGAGAATTTGTTTGCTCGTCTGGAGATCGATGAATCATGTTAATTCATAGAATTAATTGAATTGTAATTAAAGAGAAATGATTGGTTCCGGCTTTTTCGCAATTGTCGATTGCTTCAAAGCATTGGATATCCGAAACGGTTCTCGAAATAAATGGTTTCAGTTGAATACTATGATAAATGACTAGAAAAAATCTATTAGAAAATTCATAGGGACCACGTGTGAATCGTGTTAGATGCTCGGTTGTTCTAATGCTAAACTGAGTTTATCGAATCCGATAATAAATACTCGATTTGGAGAGAGAAATGTGTTTTACCTTTCCCCTTTAATGATCTATAGAAATATAAAACTCCAATAGCAGCACAATAAATTCACACCAATAAAATCAAATCTAATACAAAATAAAATCCTTTGCTGCGAAGTTTCCTGAAGATAATCAAACTTAAAGTCTCTTTATCATCAGTATTCGTCCCATGACTCAAAGGTTGCAATCTACAACATTATCAAACGAAATCAACACCAACGATATCACTACGATCAATACAGCTCCCAACAAATTCTACGCAATTAATCAACCCGCAAACGTCATGCAATACCTTAATTTCGCAAACAGACTCCGCGCAAAGTCTACACCAAACAATCCAATCGATCAATCTATTCCAAACAACAACACCCGAACACAACACCCGAACAGCCCAATAAACAATGAAACAGAATCACTTCAATCATACAATAAAATTCGTCGAATTCAATTGGAACGTTCCATCTGGGGAGCGCCGCTCGCCCCGAAGTCCTCTTTAATTAATTCCGTTTTTAATTTCCCCATTGTCACGGCCAGTATTTCACCGGACTCCAGTCGTGGCCCGTGACGAAAACGGCTGAAGGCGCGGCAGTGGTTGCGGCCACGGAATTCCCAGCCGACACGGCCGAACATCCTGCTAGATGTTATCCAACGAAAATAATAAATCAGCCGTCCGAAATGTCCAGTAATTTAATTTCCCGCGGAACTTTTCTGCCCCGGTGGCAAGTTCCCTCCGTTGGGGATCGGTGTGTCCAGCAGCGGAGTATATGAAACGAGATAGCCGCGAGAGAGGGGAAAAAAGGAAACGTTGGGAGAGGGCAGA